AGCAGGATGCTCATCAGGACAGAAGCAACTCTTTGCAACAAGCTCTTCTCAAACTTGTTGGTCAAACTCAGAGTTCCTCCTCTCCTGGTACATCCTCTGGACTCCCTCCCAGTCTCCTGGAGGCAGCTCCTCATCTCTCTGCACTCACTTCCTCAGATATCCTCTCTCCCACTGTTTCTGAGACTTGGAAATTGCGGATGCTCTTCACTGTGGACAGTCATGTTGACACCACAGTCAGTTTACTCTCTGCCCAGCCATTCACTGATCCCCTACCTCAGTCCTTGCTCAAACTCATTGTCAAGGATAGGTATGTGGACTTTGAAAAGATCCATGCTTCCATCACTAGTTACACTAGTATCTTTGATGATAGCACTACCTTTGGCTCAGAGTACAAACTGGTCAAGAAAGAGCACTCAATCCGTTCTCTCCCTGTCACATCTGAAGCACAGTGGCTCCGAGTTTTTGATGCCTGGCTTGCCCCAGTGCTTAAGATCTATCCCCATCGTCAGAGTGAGCTTTCTGCATACAAGGCATCTATTATGGAGTTTTTCAGGGCTGCTCCATCAGATCCCTCTATTGCCTTTAGAGTGGACAGGGAGGCGCGCCAGAAAGCTTCTAACACTCCCTTTGACCTTGGAAATGCAGAAAACTTCAGACTCCTGTTGCTTAAGGAACTTCTCAGTGCTAGAAAACGTCCCAGCTCCTCTCCTAGCACTTCTTCTGCTTCAAAGCGCCAGGATACTCCTTGTATCCTTTGGAATGAAGGGAAATGCACTTCCCCATGTCCAAATCGCCGCAAGCATGGCTTCTGTAGTGTCTGTGGAGAGCCCCACAAAGCAGTTGACTCCCAATCCTGCTATGAGAAGCTTAAGCACAGTAGATCAGAGGGTAAAAACCGCTCTGGCAGGGCCTAGATCATTAGCTGGTACTAAGAGAGCTGCTCCAGAGTCAAACTCCGGTTCTAGCAACTCTATACCCCGGTTTAGGCGTGGTTATTTATGGTCTACTTCATCTAGTTCTTCAGAAATCATTCCTCCCAGTATACAGTCTACCTACACTGCACCTCCACTTCCTTCACCTCCTGAACATCTCTTGAACAATCCTCAGATTCAATCCACTCTGAAAGCTATGGCTCCATACATTAAAGTTGAGACTCCTTTCAATGTTGACAGATTGGAGAATCTCCTTGCTTCCCATCCCAATCAGCCCTTTGTAGCCTCTGTGATGCGCTCCTTGAGAGAGGGTTTCTGGCCTTTCTATGAGGCAGAGTGGGAAGTTGAGTCTAAGCAAAAACTGGATAACTATGTCTCTGAGCCTCAAGACTTTGTTGCACTGAGAGCTCACAGAGATCAGGAAGTTGCAGCTGGGAGATGGTCTGAAGCTCTACCTGAAGATTTTGTACTTTTGCCTGGGATGAAAGTTTCTCCCATGTTTGTGGTCTGGCAGAAAGGAAAACCTCGAGTTGTTATGGACCATACTGGCTCTGGCCTTAATGACAACATCCCTAAAGCAGAGGGAAAAGTCAAGTATGATGATATGCACACCTTTGGTCAAGTACTTAATGATATCTTGAAAGAGCATCCTGATGAAGAACTCATTCTCTTCAAAAGTGATGTCTCTAAAGCTTTCCTCAACCTCCCTGGTCATCCCCTCTGGCAGTTGTGTCAAGTTGTGGAGGTTGATGGTAGATATCACATAGTCCGACGTTTGGTGTTTGGAACCAGGACTTCACCCCGCTGCTGGTGCAGCCTCTCATCTCTAATGTGCTGGTTTGGCTCTGAGAAGCTTGGGATCATTGGTCTCCATGTCTATATGGATGATTTCTATGGCTGGGACTTTAAGAGGAATCTGTTACTGTTCCATGATCAACTCCGCCCTAAGAGACAGGTCCAACTCCTTGTATTCTGGGACATGATCTTGTGTCCTTATGAAGACAAGAAACAGGAGCATGGAGTCACTCTGAAGATCATTGGATTCTGGGTAGATATTGTCAAGGGATCCATCTCACTCTCTTCTGAGTCTATCCAGGGTCTTGTAGCAGACATCACCTCATTCCTCTCCTCCCCAAAGCGCCAGGCTGCTCTCAGAGACTGGCAACACCTAGCTGGTTCACTCAACTGGTCCTTGAATGTTCTCCCATGGGCTAGACCTGCATTGACAGAGATGTACAGGAAAATGAGTGGAAAGACTCTTCAGTTCCGAGCTATTCCTATCAATGGTGAAGTTTACAGGGATTTGACTTGGTTCTCAGATCTCCTACAGACTGCTATTGGAATCCGATTTGTAGATGCTCAGAGATGGCATGACAGTGAAGCAGACTTTGTGGGTTGGACTGATGCAAGTAACATTGGCCTTTCCTATGTCTATGCAGGAAATGGTTTCTGTTATCAGCTTCATCCCACTGAGGGTAGTCCAGTTGTAGACATCTTCTTCAGAGAACTCCTTTCTATCCTCTGTCTGTTTCATCACATTGCTTCCAAGCCCTCTCCTCCTCAACATGTCCTCATCTACTCTGATAGTCTGGATTCAGTTCAAGTGCTCAACTCACTTTCCACTAGAGAGTCCTCTCACAACTCCATTCTCCTGGCCATTGCTGCCATTGTTCTCAAGACTGGGATAGATATCAGAGTCCGCCATATTGCTGGTAAATCTAACATCAGAGCTGATTTGTTGTCCCGACTTTTGCTTGATGATTACAAGCTTCAATTCCCCTCAGAACGCGTCTGCTTATTTGAGCCTCCTAGAGAGCTCTTGCCGGCGCGATGGAGAGGGTGCTTTTAGAGGCATTGGGTGGGCAGAGCCGCCGGAATGGCCCCTCTGTTCACCCACCTATGGACTTGAACAAATTAGATGATCTTGTCCTCTTTCTCCAATCTCATGCAATTGAACAGTCAACTAAAAACAACTACTCTACTGGTGCTAGGGACTATGTCCGCTTCTGTACCTCTCATAACCTCCCTCTGGATCCTACTCCATCCACTCTATCCAGGTACATTGCCTTTACATCAAGGCACAAAGCTTCTGGTCCAAAATATCTTACTGGTGCAAGGCACTATCTGAAAGATGTCTATCCCCACTTTGATGAATCTCGTTCCCATCCTCTTGTACAAGCTACAATCCGTGGTTCCAAGAAGGTCAGGGCTGACCCTGTCAAAAGGAAGCCACCACTCCGCACTTCACACCTTCAACAGTTCCTTGAACTTAAAACCAAGTCTTATAACCATCTTCTGTTTGCAACCCTCATTAGCTGCTGCTTCTATGGATGTCATAGAGTTGGTGAACTCACATTTCCTAATCAGAAGTCACTCCGAGATTGGAGGAAGGTAATAAAGCGCTCCACCCTCAAGTTTGAGGCTGGGAGAGCTGGCTACCACTTACCATATCATAAGGGTGATCCATTCTATCAGGGAACTGATATCTTGTTCTGTTCTCAACAAGTTGCTGATCCAGTTACTCTACTGAAGGAATATGCTACTGCTAGGGATAAACTCCATGGTGCTAGACCTGCTTTGTTCATTCTTGAAGATGGTAATGTCCCTACCAGAGGCTGGTTTGACTCTATGTTCTTTGCTGTCCTTAGTAAAGAGTTTGGAGGCCACTCTGGGCGTGCTGGGGGCGCTACTTTCTATGCAGGACTCGGACTTCAAGAGATGATCATCATGGCTCTAGGTAGATGGTCATCATCAGCTTGGAAGATCTACATTAGAGATAATCCTGCAGTTAGAGCTGAACTTGAACTAGCTGCCATCAGGAGACACCAATCCTCATCCTCATAGTATTATTCCCTTTCACCTCGCGTCTCATTCACATTTCTCTTCACCACCATCCACCCCTCAACAACAATCCATAGCTTTCTTATAGCGCTTCATGATCCGCAATTTAGGGGCCCTTGGGCTCAAGTTTTGGCTAAACACACCTCCCCTGAGTGAAAACTAGCATAGGCTAGTTATCACTGTAGTGACTTACCTAGTGTATAAAGTACTTACAGACTTCATTTCTTAGTTTTACAACTCATAACTTAGCTATTTCTTTAGTGTTACTGTAGTTAGTTAGTTTTCATAGGTGCGCACAATTGTGGACACCTATTATCACGCCTCATGCGTTTCTAGTACATACAAGACCAAACAAACCTGTATTCTGTTAAAGTCATGACTGAAAACAAAGTGACCAGACTGGGGATTGAACCCAGGACCTTCTGGTTATATTCCAGATGCTCTAACCAACTGAGCTATCCGACCTTGATTCAAATAATGAGGACTTTACATATGGTAACAGTGGCCATCCAATCAACACTTCTTAAGGACTTACTATCTTCTTTTGCCTTGGTTGATGGAATTTTGCATAATACCATTTACACCTCATTAGGGTGTCAGGATTGAATCCTAACATATTCCTACTACAGTTGAAAGATACAAATCAATCCTCACTCTATATTGACTTCTGTCATATCTACAGTGTTTATTGGAGTACTGAGCAACTATAAGGCTTGTAGTCCAACCTACTAGTCTTGTATTAAGGCATTGACAATCTGTGCACTGAGCTGGGTGGCATACTGCTTGGGTTAGCTGAAGGGCGCTCCAGTGTGTTTCAACTTCAACAAGTGCAATCTCCTTCAACACAATTTGGTATAGATTTTAGCTCGTTTTGGAGCGTTGAGGAGGTCTGAGATCAATGGCAGAGGGTAGCGGTCCTTCTTGCATTTGAAGTTTCAAAGGGCCTACACACTTTCGAACAAGAATGATTTGCTTGCAGTCGAATATCTCAAGAAAGAATGCAACTTGCCGATCTGACGGGGGGATGATTTTGGTATAATTGATTGATTCATATCTTGTACATACTGAATACGGTTCTGATCATGATTCATGTTTTCATCAAGAACATTACAATGTGATCATCGCAGTTCATTTCTTTGCTTTGTATCGAACTTTACATTGAGTTGAACACAAAGATTTACAGCTCCTAATAAGCTACTAACTCTCTGATAATGAGGACCATCTTTATCATGAATGAGACACATGTGAAGGACCCTATAAAGATCATAGCATCAATTGCAACTTGTGGAATTCCGAGCTTTTTTGGCAATGAGTAATGGAAGCCTTTGCTCTAGCGTGTAACACTCACCTTTTTAGTGACTTTGAGTTGGACTGGCATCGGGGGATGGTATTGGATCAGAAGGAACAACGCAATACTCAAAGTCAGATTTCCAACAGCAACAGCAAGGGGTTGGCTCCAAAATGTTGCATAGATCTTCTGAAGCACTTTGATGAGGAAGAGCAGGTAAATCAGAGCACCCGCCTTGAACAAAATCCGGGAGAGTTGAAGGTCATCAACCATCTACTCAAATGGAGGTACATTAGTCCATGGCGCCAATGTATGATAGGTACATACTCACAACAACGTTTTGGAACCATTTTGGGCGTTCTGGGCTTTCCGAAGGACGTCCTGATCCCTCCGAAGGATGTCCTGGTCCCTCAGGAAGACGACCCGGTTCATCTGCCGGACGACCTGGTCCCTCCGAAGGACTGGCTGAGATCTGAAAAGATGGCGATGTGAGACTAAATTCGCAGATGGAACGCATGTCTAAGCCCACATTCTTCCCTCAAGTATCGAGGTTGTCCATTGTGTGTCCTGGGAGAGAGCTTGCTAAATTCTATGATGGAAAATTGTCAGACATGCAACATTGATCCAGAAAATGAAAATGCATGCACCTCCATTGGAGTATCAGTGGTTAACGATGAAGACGCCTTCGTTGGAATCTGATCTTCGTGTTGAAGGAGACTGCACTTGTTGAAGGAGACTGCACTTGTTGAAGTTGAAACACACTGGAGCGCCCTTCAGCTAACCCAAGCAGTATGCCACCCAGCTCAGTGCAGAGAATGTCAATGCCTTAATACAAGCTCAGTAGGTTGTGCTACAGAGTCTTGTAGTTGCTCAGTACTCCAATAAACACAGTAACAATGACCAGAGTCAATATAGTATGAGTATTGATTTGTATCTTTCAACTGTAGTAGGAATACAGGTTTGTTTGGTCTTGTATGTACTAGAAACGCATGAGGCGTGATGATAGGTGTCCACAATTGTGCGCACCTATGAAAACTAACTAACTACAGTAACACTAAAGAAATAGCTAAGTTATGAGTTGTAAAACTAAGTAATGATGTCTGTAAGTACTTTATACACTAAGTAAGTCACTACAGTGATAACTAGGAGTGGTGAGGCGCTGTGTAATGTATGTAGAAAGTGTTCTATCACTACAGTATGCTCAACACTTCGATGCTACTCATAATAGGTTCTGTAGTCTTTGCAAGGTAGATGAGCACTTCGTAAGATCCATACAACTCAGACACTCACCATCTGCCCACATGGAGCTTCAGGGCTCAACAACATGGGAGCAGTCTCTGCAGACTCGGGTATCTGACTATCAATGGCACATGTGGTGGGTTTCGGAGTGCTGGCTGGGTCCTATGAAGGCGAATATACATCATTATGAGGCGCAGATATCGATGTTTCAGAGACTCACCATCTTTCTGAGGATTTGAGTATCAGTGGTTGATGAGATGGACGCACTTGTCGTTAATCCAATTATCAGATCCTCGATATCAGTCGTGGTAGGCCTTGGAGTACTGCTTGAGCTCTACGGAAGGTTATGTCTTCAATCGGGACAATTCTAGCAGCCAACGCACTGTGTTCTGTAGTTGGAAGTCCTGTGAAATACAAGAACATGCCCAGTCAATGAATCGATCGACACAAAAGCATTCAACTCAAGAACATTCAGGATGCTCCGATCTGTGTCACTATATTCACTAGAGCGGCTACTATATTCTATCGCCTCATCCTCACTGTCAATAACCTTGTTGTCATCCCTCCAAGAGTGCATTGCCAGTGGAAAGTTGGATGCCCGCTAACGGAGAATCAGTTGCGTCGAATTATTGGGAGCATGGGGATTACCGGCGATAGAGCATATACTCCATGATGAGGTGGCTCTTCTTCTGCATCCATGATTATGTACCAACCTTCACTATCGCAAATGAGAGTTTTTGGTAAGATGTAGTTCATTCAGCCTCGTGTACAGCATACGGGCCATGACTTTAGATGACATAAGTGACAGAAAATGCAGTGCACTTGCTCGAAGGTATACAGAGGTCTCAGGTCTGATTCGATGTGACTTCCTGTACGTAGAACGCGAACGACGCGGCAGACTTGATCAGGTCAGGTGATAGAGTATGACACCTGACCATCAGCACTTACATATTTCAATGCGTGCTTCCTTCTAGTCTCCCTCAATTACTGCCTCTTCATGGCGATTCCACGAGTCAAACTACGTGGTTTCGACATAGCTATAAGTCGCGGGGAACTCGTACCATACAAGGCGATGATAGGACAAAAGAAGAACACGACACAGCTCATTTTGCTGCACTAACCGACTCTGTAGAACCTAATGTCGAGCCTGTGGCGGGTCGCGACCTGGAGCACTTTGCACTCCGGGTTCGGTACGTTGTCAACATACTATTCAGAACCTAGGCTTCCCCCCTGAAGTCAGCTTTAGTGACCTTGTTGTAATTTTGGGGTGTGTGAACTGCTCGTTCTCCAGATCTACAGGCCGCCACCAGAACCCCCGCTCTGTACCTTCGTGACTGCACCAAACCCATATTTGATAGCCCCCATCTCTGGTATTCCTGTGGACATATATCGTCCCTAACAGTCTGGGAGTTGCGGTCTCAGGGGAAGGAGCGTCGAGGTCATTTGGTGATTGACTAGAGTGCCAGGCAGTTTCCCCCTCACTATCATGCGATCTGAACTGATTCGTCTCCAATTTCGTCGGTCCATACGTGTCGTTTGTAACATTGCTCGTACGAAGATTCCCTTGCAAAAAGTACTTTGGAGGCCGTGCCTGAGGCTTAAAGCTGACGGGGGTAGATCCCCTATCAGCGTCCTTGGCAAAGCCTAATGGATATTGGCATAGAACCTCACGAAGGAGATGGTCCACCTACTGGGGGTTTCGGTCTTCTTGAGAGCTCCCTTTTGAGGAGGGGGAGTCTTCGCTCGTCCTCTTGTCCTCCTGTATTGGATTTCAGCGTTCCCAAGATCATTACAACCCCGTATCGTATTAACTCACGATTCCTCTGCGTCTGGGCTGTGATATATCTTTTGGATTATCCCATCACTATCCAGATAATAGCTGCAGTAGTCGTATGTTTGCCTTCTCCACCATCCAGTGGGCTATGAATTGTCAGCATTAATTCGCAGTCGATGTTGATCCAATCAACGAACAGTAGGATTTCCTGTTTCCGAGTCTGAGGTGCTGTCTGGTTCCATCAGGGAGCGGTTCTGACACCCATGAATTTTACTTGGACTTTTTTTTTCTCTCCACGTGAGTTCTTGCCATATGCAACACACAAAAGTTTCCTGACGTTTTTGATGCCCACGATAGGAAATAAGAGCCAAATTATCAGAAATTTCACAGGTCAGTAATATCGCTCCATCGCTTTATCAATGCCCTCAGGTCATATTGTTTCCTGCTCAAACTCTTCGTGTTCTTTCACTTTCGAGTTCAACCCGCTCGTGAAATGGCTCGCCGTCGCAGAGTCAATTCTGTCAATTCGGATTTGCAACCGTGTCGTTGCCAAGAGTGTCTCAAACAAGATCCAGAGGGATTACTGGTCCCCCAGTCCGCTCTTACTGAGCATCGGCATCGGGAACGTCTCAGAAAAGCTTTACTCAGTAGGGCCGACAGGTTGCAAACGGTGTCGACATCATCTGGTATAGTACCAGAGGCTTCAGGGTCTGACATCGCACCCGAATCATCATCCCCCCCTTCCGAAAACCATCTCCTCTGCGGAAGCAACCATCCAGATTCAAATTGACCTGGCATCCCAGGTTTAAATGATGAGGACACCGGCGGCTGGTTACAATGCGTAGTATCCGAAATCCGCATGCATTTGGGGACTCTATACGATTGCGAAACGTGCCTAACCTTCTTCAAAGATCCTTCTCCGAATATCTCTTTTGTAGTGTCAGATTCTGAAAACCTTCTACAGGTGAACTCTGGCGAATTCGCTCTGAAAACTACTGTTATCGCCAACAACCGCTTTTTGGATACAGAGGCAAGGTTCTGCAGCCTGCTCCAGTCAATTCAAATATTGCCGGAACAGCGCTTAGTTGGTGATGCAGACGTTGAGGAGGAGCTTCGCGACGCATTGGTGAAGCTCCATCGCATAAAGGAGAGACAGTGGGTATCACAGGCATACCCTGATGGACGTGATGGATCCACGATTAACAATAGTATGTGTACTATCCCATCGTCAGTCGCAGTGACTAAATCTACTTAGGTCGTCGCTTTTCCCAGAGGCAAATGACAGATGTAACTCCGACCCTTGTAGTCGCTCTGATCATGCATATAAAATTCCGGAGTACAGTCCGTCATATGCGGGTAAATCTTGCGCTGTTGCGTGGCATCATCGGAGGGTTTATGAGAAGAAGCGGGATTCAATCAAGAGTTCCATCCCAGATTCCAAAGGATATTCACACTATTGTCGACCAATATGATCTCAATCCTACTTTGCACGTCGCGATTGCATGCCCGAAATGTTACGCATTGTCGCCGTTCACCGACGAGGCCCTCAAAAATGCTGAGAACGCACATGAAGTGCATCTTCCTTTGCCTGTGTGTGAAGAGAGATTACACCCGGATTCGCCACCGTGTGGGACTACATTGTGGCACACTTGCCATAGTGGAAAGCATTTGTTCATGGCCCCGATTAGAAAGCAGGTCTTTCAGGATCTGAAGTTATGGATTGGGAGAATTCTAGCTGTTCCAGGCATTGAAGATGCTGTTGCAGAGCATCAGCAACGCCCATTCTCAACGAGGACTGACTCGGAAATAGACTTTGTGGATTCTGTTGTCTTTCGTGAATTCAGAGGCGTAGATGGGCAGCCGTTCATAACTTCTCAGAAAGAACCTGCTGAAAATCCAGATCTACGACTTGTTATGAGTCTTGGATTTGACGGGTTCAATCCATTTGGGCAGAGAGAGACTGACGCTCAGATCCAGTTCACAGCTTTGTACATGGTAATTCTGTCTCTACCGGAGCATCTTCGATATCGACAAGAGTATATGTTTTTGGTCACTGTCATGCCCGGAAAACCCAAACAACACCACGTCAATCATACCTTATGGGTTCTAGTCCAGCAACTGCTGGCTTTCTGGGAAGGTATGTACTACACACGTACAGCACGTCATCGTATTGGTCGAAAGGTTTTCGTAGCCCTGCTCCCCATTGTTTGTGACACGGAAGCTGCGATTCAAATTTCGGGCTTTGCTGCCCACAATCATACCTACTTCTGTAGACGATGTCTCCTACCAATCAGTGATATCCACAACCTTAATCCAGAAACTTGGATCATGCAGGACCCTGTGAAACATAGGGAGCTGGCCTTTGAATGGAAGGTTGCTTCACGGGCACGACGCGAAGCAATCTACAAGGCTCATGGAATTCGATTCACAGAGTTAATGGAACTGCCGTATTGGGATCCCATCCTCTTCACGGTCATTGATGACATGCATTTCGGATACCTTGGCCTGTTCAAAACCCACCTTCGTGAAATATGGGGTATTGATCATGAGAAGAACAGCAGGGATGGACTTCATCCAGATTTATCCGACAAAAAACGTATGAAGTTGTCCAACACAAGTTTACGCAATTTTTTGAATGAAATTCGAGGAAATGAGATATTGATAGGAGCTATTTTGCTGGAAGAGAAGAAAGGGGTTCTCTGGTATCTGTGTTTCTGGCTCAAGCTATGTACGGGACTTAGCAGCAAGCAACAAATGGTAGACCAGATTTTGCAATGGGTGAGTCTTAAATCTCATTGACTACTCACGCGCACTTAACTATGTACAGCGTTCGTCCGTTGAATTTGAACAAGTACCTGAAGTCCCTCCTCTTGACTATAATCAGGTCCCGGATGGTTGGGAAGGTGACAATTCGGTGAGTGTTTTCTTTTGCACCCTTTTTGCTGCTCTGAAGTTTTTCTCTCATATCAGTGTAGCGCCATAGCCGAAGTCTCAGAATCCGAAGCTTCCGATGTAGTATGTTTGTTTCGTTATCACAACTAACTCACATATTGACTGGTTGGAGAAGTCTTTGAACTCGGAGCCTTCATCAAGGGCTTCTTCGGTGGCTTCTTCGGTTGCTCCGTCCATCGCTCTATCTGCCACAAGTGCGGATGCGCTACCACCCGTATTGCAGTCTGCACCACCATTCATCTTCAGCAAAGACTCAGCATTTGAAAAACTCAAGTCCAAATTACTCAACCTCGACACTAGACCCCCATCACTTGACAAGAAAAAGATAATCCTTCGAGCATTGTGTCAAGATCTGAACATACTCTACAACCTAAATGACTCGAACAAAACCCTTGCTGCACGCCTCATGGTCTACGTAAATATATCTACTGAGCTGCATTGAATTACTTCTGAGTATCTTTGAACAGCGTCAAGAAAACGGAGCTAAGGATGATGAGGATTCTTTGCAGACGCGGTACAACCAATTCAAACGGATCTTCGAGGAGGATGAGCCCTCGAAGTCCATGATGATGTCTCAACTACTCAAACTGTTGAAGGAGATTGCACTTGTTGAAGTTGAAACACACTGGAGCGCCCTTCAGCTAACCCAAGCAGTATGCCACCCAGCTCAGTGCACAGATTGTCAATGTCTTAATACAAGACTAGTAGGTTGGACTACAAGCCTTATAGTTGCTCAGTACTCCAATAAACACTGTAGATATGACAGAAGTCAATATAGAGTGAGGATTGATTTGTATCTTTCAACTGTAGTAGGAATACAGGTTTGTTTGGTCTTGTATATACTAGAAACGCATGAGGCGTGATAATAGGTGTCCACAATTGTGCGCACCTATGAAAACTAACTAACTACAGTAACACTAAAGAAATAGCTAAGTTATGAGTTGAAAACTAAGAAATGATGTCTGTAAGTACTTTATACACTAAGTAAGTCACTACAGTGATAACTAGGAGTGATGAAGCGCTGTGTAATGTATGTAGAAAGTGTTCTATCACTACAGTATGCTCAACACAAACATCTTGAGAAGCTTTGCAGAGAGTATCGAATACCCCCGGTGACATGCCTAAATTTTGGCTAGACGTCTATGCTGTGAATTGTGACATTTTCACGTATAGATTTGTATCAAGAGGACTGTAATTGAGACCCAGATTGACAGTCAAAGTCAATACTGGATCAGTCTAATAAGTTGAAGGGACCATATACCCATACTACCACAAGTTGGTTAGTTTACCCATGCCTGATACTACCTTCGGATGACAGTCTACCTGTTTGTCAAGCAGGATTATACCAGACTCGGACTACATCCGAAGGATGACCATTCACGTATGACGTACCAAGGGTATTCTTATTGGACCTTACACTGGCAGGAGTTTGGAAGAACTTACTCAAGTGACCATGAACCGAGGATTGACTTGAAATGACTTTCTAGAACTCAGGAATTATCAAATACTCCTTCTAGAACGAGATCATGCATTAATCTAAAAGACTGCGGTTTAGTCTAATAGACCAATCGAGTTGCATGGTTGAGGAAAATGACTAGAAGAACGATCGAAGTACTGCGAGGCTCCGAAGGCATATCAAATGAATGTCAAAGAGTCCTGACGTAGAAAATATTGAAGAATGCAATTAAATGAATACTATGCGTAACTCCCTTGATAGAGTATAGGCACAATGGGTGTCTATTGAAAGAGAGAAGCAATTAGTTTAATCCAGATGAATCAGATTAATAGAATTAGAATCGAGAAGAGCTGATTTGCCTCCAGACAAGGTGACAAACGATCGAAGTAAGTGTTGAACAGCAATGACAGTTGAACACTATTCGAGTCATTCTCTAAAAACAATTAAATTAAATGAATAGTGAAGTACCTACCTATGTTTGGAGGTATACTAGAATCTTGGAACCAATATGGACCAAATAAGGACATGTAGATTCAAATTAAATGGTATCTGACGGAGTGTAGAAGTTTCCTTGCGGTTCCGAACGTTTATTGTATTAAATTAATTGTACTGTGCAACTCTATATCCTGTATGTATAAATAGCGATCCGATGTATCTGGAATACAAGTGATTTTGGGACGACGTTGCAGTGCTAATCCGTAAAAAGGAAAGACACACTCCCGCCAGACTGAAACCTCTTCGCTAGCAGCCATTCGGGCCCGGCACTTGTGAGTATAGGAACGTTGTGTTCTGCTCCTTGTGACTGCGAGAAGTATATCCAGTTGTTGGATATTC